TGCCTTAAGAGCTTCAAGAAAAGCGGTAATCCACTCTCTCCAAGAAGAATAAGACTCCAATACTATAACAAAAGAAGTATTAGTTTAGAGGAGGGTAATCCGCAATCTCTAAAACACTAATACACCTTCAAGCAGAGAAGTAATCGACACTCTAACAAAGAAGAAGCTAGCTTTGATATGAGAGGTGAGTTCAATCTCGACAAACTATCACGGACACAGAAATACAGGCTCGAGATTTAACAAGAAGTTCAAGAAGAACTGACAAGAACTAGATTAATCAGATGAATACAAGAACAACACCAGAGAGGTGAGCTAGAGCTCCAAGAGATGTATTGTCAAGATTGAAGAACTCTTCAACCTCGATTCTAATATATACTCCTATTTAAGAAGCTTCTTAAGCAACTTCCACCAACTAGGAAGCTTCTCAAGCAACTTCGACCAACTAAGAAGCTTCTCTAGCAACTTCCACCAACTAGGAAGCTTCTCAAGCAACTTCCACCAATTAAGAAGCTTCTCAAGCAACTTCGACCAACTAAGAAGCTTCTCTAGCAACTTCCACCAACTAGGAAGCTTCTCAAGCAACTTCCACCAATTAGGAAGCTTCTCAAGCAACTTCGACCAACTAAGAAGCTTCTCTAGCAACTCCCACCAACTAAGAAGCTTCTCAAGCAACTGCCACCACCTAAGAAGCTTCTCAAGCAACTTCCATCAACTAGGAAGCTTTTCAAGCAACTTCCATCAACTAGGAAGCTTTTAGATGGTTTCAGAGACTTACTTCTAGAAGGTTCTAGAAACTTGTCTCTAGAAGGTTCTAAGTACTATGTCCCTAACAATACGCTTAGACCTTTTCTTATTAATAAACAAATCAATCATATTACTTATCAATTATATCTATCAAAGTTCATAAAGATCCATCTTTTATTCCATGTATCTTTTCTTGAGCCATATAAGACAATGAATATCTTAAGAAGTAGACAAATGCCACCTCCTCTTATAGAAGTGGATAATAATCAACAATTTGAAGTAGAAGAAGTCTTAGATTCAAAGCGTTGCCAAAATAGATTAGAATATTTTATTTATTAGCACAAATATGATATTAGCAAATGTACATAGAAGCCAATAAAGAATCTTACAAATGCAACAAATAAGGTTGAGGTTTTTTACCGACAACATCTATTAAAATTCAGTTAAAAAATATCAAATCTTTACTTTAAAAGAAACAAGATCCAAAAAAAAATAGCATTCTACCTTTTAGTCTTGTTTTTAAGTTTTTTATATTTGTGACGCTGAAGAAATGAAAAACCAATAACTAGCAAATTCAACTCAAGAGCTATTACTTGCCAACTTATCACTTCAAATATTATAATTGTTATAATCTTCAAGACAATGTAATTAAGATGAAGATCTTCAAGAATGACATGTTCTTCCTTAAATAGATGGAAGATATAATACATATCTTAAAAGAAACTTTTGATATTTGGTGATTTTATTAGAGGTTAGAACAACTCTTCACTATGTTCTTAATGTTTTATTTGAAGGAAGCTACAAAGGCCTCAACAATGATCAAATAATGGGGTGGTCTTTCCATCCTAATATGGGATACTGTTTATAGCTAAGAGGACTTATTAACCTTCTCTAAAGAGAATAAAGATTAAAATACATGGTAAATACAATTTGTTGTATCTTTGATTTTATCAACATATGATGATTACTCCTTATAGAACTCGTTTCCAAAAAGAAAAGTAATGCCACAAATATACATATTTATTCTGATATTTACTTACATAATTAAGTAGAAGCATATAAAAGTATATTTATTTTATAATATTTTTTAAAAATATTTTTTAGAATTTTCTAGAATTTATTGAAATATTCTAAAAATCATCTAAAATCTTCTAAAATATTCTTAAAATCTTTTTAGAATCTAATGGAATCTTCTAAAATCTATTAGAATATTCTTTAAATATTCTTTAAATCTTCTTATTAAATATCTATAACAATAAATGATAGTTAATAAATTCAAACTTTATTTATAAAAATGTAATAATTATCTTCTTAAATAGAAAAAAATATCATTTATTAAAATTTGAATATGTATTATAAAAATATTAATAATAAATAATAAATATAAATATAAATATTCAATAAGAATCAATCTTGATCAATCATAATACTACATTCATGATGATTTCATTGTAAGTTTATTGGGATTATTTCTTTGTTTTACTTTTGATAAAAACAGTGTAAGATGCAATCATTCAAATATCAAATTCATCTCTTTTAATTTACCTCATTGGTCTAATTTTCCTTTCTATATATATATATATATATATATATATATATATATACCATTGAGAAGTATTTTTAAAATTTTTAACTAAATATATTGTAAAGTTAAATATTATTGAATTACATTTTAATTTAAAAAATATAAAAAATCAAAAGATTTTAGATTTAATATCATACTTTAATAATAATATAATCTTCAAATTAATTTGTTATAATATGCCACATGATGACTTTAGAAGACGTAAAAAGAAAGTAAATAAATAAAAAACCATAGAATAATTTCAAAATTTATTATATAATGAAACTTTAATATATATACATATATGCATATTTTATATAAATTTAAAATAAATGTTTTAAATTCTAATGTAATTTTTATGTTTATTTTTTTATCTATTAATTTTAAGTTATAAATAAGTAAGAAAATAAGTTTTATAATTAACTTTTAAATTATATTGAAAGATAGATATATCAAATTATTATCAACTAATTATATGATTTAAAATTTATTTATATCATGTCATATAAAAATATATTAAATATATTAAATATAAAATATTTTAAAACTTATAAAGTATAATATATATATATATATATATATATATATATATATGTATTATGATGCAATTTAACTTGGAAATTCCAAAATTTTTAGTCAATGGGATTTTAAATCTTATATACTTGATTAAAGAAAATATTTAAAAATATTTTATAAAACTTTATTAAATATTTTATGAGATTTTTGATAATATTGGTGGATATCCTAAAATTCAAAATAAGCTAATGATGATTTTAAAAAATATTATGGTAACTAATTACTACAAAGATAAATATTTCAAATTTGCATACTTTTATTTTCAAAGACATAAATTACAAACAATAAAAACCTAAATATATTCTAATGTCACTTGAAAAGAATAGATGTTCACTCAAAGATAATATAATATTGAAACTAAAATGACTATTTCAAAAACAACAATATTTCTCTATCATGAATCAATAATATTTCTTTATGTAGACCAATAATATTTCTAAACAAATAATATTTCTCTATCATATAATTATTCTAAACCAATAATATTTCCTTATCATATGTAATATTTTTATACACCATTATATATTAAAAAAAATTACCATCCTTATGTATAAAGATGGTACATGTTTGATTATGCATATATTAAAAAAAAATGTAATTAGTATTACATTTAGTAATAATAGCCAATGCAAACATTGTATCCAGTCTTTTTAATTGTTTTTTGTTTTCAGAAGGCATTGAATTGTAATTGGTATTCTATTAAATTTATTAATAATCTAAAATATTATTGGTCATAAATATTAAGAAATTTTAAAAAATATCAATAACAGTAAGGTCTTTTTTAAGATTTTTTTTTTTTTTTTTTTTTATATATACTTAAATCAACAGAACATCAAAATGGTTTATAACTAATACAAATATAGTTGCTTGAATGAAATTACAATTGCATCTAGAAAAATAAATAAATTACATGATTGATTTAAAAAAAGATTATGTATTTTGAATTTTTTGTTTAAAAACAAAAGAATCACTTTTTATAATTGTTAGTCCATTTGATTTGTATTTGGTCTAGATTGAAATGATTTTTTAGTAAATGGTGTTACAATAGCTCTTATATTCTTTCTGGCATAGCAAAACATTTATTATTATTGGTGTTATTTTGGTGTATAATTTGACTTTTGTATAATTGGGTCTAGTCACAAAACAAAATTGATGGTATTATATAGAATAATGTTTAAGCTAAATTGACAAAGTCAATTTATTAATATATATATATATATATATATATGCTTATATATAGTTTTGAAGATGTTATCTAATAATTTAAAACTACAATAGTTTTAAAAATTGAAATAAACATAGCATTGTACATGTTTAATTAAAAGGATGAATACTAATTTTTGGATAGTTAAGTAGCCATGCATATACTTATTTTTCCATGATTAGTTGGTGAGATTGTTGGTGAAACTATTAATGAATTACTTATTTTTTACATATCTTGACATAATTTTAACAAAATTATTTTAAAATATTAAACTATGAAGTTAGAAATGAAAAAATGGAATATATATACATATATATATATATTAGAGTATGTTCCTATTACAAAAACTAACTACCAAATATATGTGTGCAATTTTTTATCATAAAAAAAAATCTATGCAAACGTTTTTGTGTACCAGTCACATTAAATAAAAAATATATATATATATATATATATATATATATATATATATTGAATCAATATTACAATAAATTTTTCTTACAACTTAAAATTTCGTATTAAAGATATCAAACCTAATGCTTTTAATTTAAATTACATGCTTATGATGATATCTTCACTAGCTTAAAGCTCAAGCAGTGTGATTGCCATTAAAAACTTGCTACTAAATCAATACAATCTATACAATTTAGCACGAATTTATGCATGCACAGACAAAACGGCTCAAACTGTAACAGAAGAAGATTTTGTTGAAATTCTCATTCAATATTGGATAAAAAACACAAGCTTTAGAGTGCATGACAACAAAATCGAATAAGAATTTAAAGTTTACAATAACACTTCCTAATGAATGGAGAAAAAAGTTCAATACGGATGAAATTATGTAACGTTATTCCAACTTTCATTCATGTATTGCAAACGAAGTACGCAACGTCGGGAACTTAATCACCTTCTTCCTGTCGAGCCGGCGAAATTAGGGCTGAAGCTCCAGACTCTGCATCAGCGCCTCAATTGTCGAGGATTCTTTAAGTCGGTGTCGGAGCGGAGACCGGCGTCGCTGTAGATGGTTTCGTCACTCCGCTGCACTGATAAAACTCATGAGAAGAGTTTCTATGGCATAAGGGAAGAAGAGATGAAGTGGACTAGAGTTGCAGCAGGAGTCTAACTATCTGACCACGATTTTGGAGTCCTCATCGTTAGGTTTAGTTTTTATATGATCTGTTCGACATCGTTAAAAGGAGAGATTGCTGTCACTTCCGGAGCTCAGGAGAAGCTGTAGCTTGCAAGTCTTCGGGTGATTGGAAATATGGAGCTTCTGAGGTAAGGTGTACGAGGTTTTTAGAGCCGGTAGAAGGGCTGATTGACTCCATCGATGGCGATTGCCCGATCGAGAATGGTATTCGGCAGCGCATATCTTGGGAGGATTGATATGGCGAGGTTATGATTGAATTTGCGTTTGAAGGCGTGACTGCGGTAGTTGTCGTTACAATGAAGTGCCATTTTTTTGTCGTGCTTGTGTGGCTGTACTATATACATATATATATATATATATATATATTGTTATTATTATTTATAGCTAGTTATAATTCACCTAGTGGTCGCTATCCTTGAACATCATCAGTCAGGTTTTTTATTTCTAGATTGATGAGTACATTTTGCATGAGTGAGACAGATTTTCGAGCAGCGGCATTCAAAGACCTTACGAACCGCAGGAGCTACCAAGTTTCTTTTCAGGACAGTGCCATCACAATATTAATTGAGAACTTATGAGAAATGACGAGGTCTTTTTAACTGCAGCGTTTTCAGATCATCTTCGCAGAAACATCGTTGTGTTGGAGCTTTTGAATCCCCAACACCTCATCACGGCTTTGGATGGGATGAGTTCATTTATGCGAGATTTTGATCATGGTTAAATGAATCAGAGTCTTGAAAGTAGTTGAAAACGACTGTGTCAGATACGAGCACATCCTGTATTTTTTTTTAAGTTTCACTGGTGAAGATGAAAAAAATAGAATTGAGACGCTCCTTGATCTAGAAAATGATTTTCAACTGAATTTTGTAGACGCTTAAGATGGTCGAAAAGTATTTTACATAGGGCACATGCAGTGTCCGTGGTTACAAGAATACCCTGATCAACTCAGATTATCTTGCAGTTAAAACACGCAATTGAACGAAACTTTGAAGGATTGCAGTGATCTGAAGGACTCAACATATCATGTTATTGCGTTATAGGTGAAGAGACGCCACCCTTACGCTGTCAGATTGTCAAGTTGACTTGTTTCAATTCTAATAATTGTCCTTGTACCTTTTGTCGGACATCAGAGCTCTTGTTGTGAGTTACAGATCAGTACTCATTTGTAAAAAAACGTCTTTCTCCATACTTTCTAGTTGAATAGCTCACAGGTGATGCGTTCTCTCAATTTTGTGGCTCATGTGGACATAAATGTAGAATCAATTGTCTGATATATGATTCTTTGGGTCATTTGTCCTGGCTTTCCTTTCAAATGGTTGTCTTAAGTTAGGTTGAGATGTACATAGGTCATGGCTGAAGATTGTTTGCGTATTCCTATTTTGGTGGACTTTGTTCTGTCGGTTAAGTTGCATCCAAGTTTTTTAGATGCTACCGTAAACTGGGTTCAACACTGAACGTCTAAACTGATAAATATTGTGAAACCGTTCATTGCACATTGTACTCACTAGTCAAATCTGGTACGCAGTTACTCAAACACTCCAGATTCTTGTAAAACATAAATTCTTCTTAAATGTTCTGATTGTAAGGTCTTTTGCAAGCTTATTCCTCATTTCATAGTGAAACGTTTCATCTTGATCCATTGATATTTAAAACGTACCTGTCCTGAAGTTTGTCAAGGACTAGTCAATATAAACATATTTTCACATGAAAAATTTCCAAAGAACATTCTTGCTGAACGCATTGTTACAACTCTGCTTTTCAGCACAAATAAATATATATATAAATACTTATTGAGAGAGAGAGAGAGAGAGAGAGTGAGAGATGTTCCCAAGATAAAAATCAGCACCGACTGATTCAAGATTCCGAATTAGAGCCAGTTAGTAACAATGCAAATCATAGAGTGGGACATCTACTCTTGATTAAAACTCGAGTACCCTCTATTCGCGTAACTGCTCAAAATTTATTATGTCCCCTTGAATTGAACGCTTTTTGTCATCTAGCTCTTTCCTTCCTCCCCATGAAACACACACCTTAAAATCTCCCATTCCTAACATACCGATACAGTGTCGAATTTGGTTTGCATTGTAGTAGACCCAGGCTGCTGTCAACATGTGCAATAGTCTCGAATTTGATATCAGCATCATAATACCACTTTTCTGTCGTTGGGTGCAGGTTGATATTGGAGTGACAAGAGGATAATCCACATGCTTGTTGGCGTTTGTACACTTGCCTCGGTGGACTGAGAGAGCCCATAAATGCCCCCGATTATTGCAAACTTCTGACGGAGCTCGTGCCGCTTCTGACATTGCTTGGTACCACTGCACCCTACTTGTTCTGTCCTACGTGGATGTCAGTTTCTTATCACAGTATCTCAAAACCTGCAGGTCATTTTATTTGTGCACAAAGTAGTATAGATTTTTGGTATTTATGTGTAATGAACTCAAATACACTGGAATCACTCTATGTCCTTCATTTTTATTTTTATTTTATTTTTTTCCAACTCTGCTGTTGTAGATGTGTTGCACACTGCATTTGACCATGTAAAATTTGGAAATGACACCAAACATGCTTAAAACTTGCTCTTGCATGTTTGGAAGAGTCTGTTTTATCACAATTCACAGAATGAAATTGAGTTTGTAGACACCACATGATGAGTATCATTGAAATTGTGATACATGTTTTAATTTTTTTAAAAAGCAAAAAAAGTAATTGATTGTCATTGATATGGCAATCCTGACCTGGCATTCAACCATCATAGAATAATCCTGATCGTAACCAATATGATAAGATTTTTGATGTCTTGAATCATGACAATGTAGTTATTCTGTAGTGGAGGATGAAAGCCATGTGCACTGCAGATTTGCCTTGGGTCTGATGAATGCAAATTTCACCATCTTTTGTTTACACAAAATGAAGCAGAAAACCTAGATATTCATCTTGAAGTAATAATATAGTAATTTGTTGTTTGGTTCATGGCCTTAACACCATTGAGATCCTAAATATTATTTTAATGAAAAATAAAAAGTGCTCAAAGTACTACTTTAGTAATTTTAATTTGAAAACACAATGTGATGGATATAGATATCCAATATATTGACTATACAATGATGGTTGTTTCTTTGAAGATTTAAAAAGTTGTAATATAAATAACTATTATAATGTGTCACATTATTTATATTTGATTACAAATACAATAAGCACATCAAAGTAGAGGTAAAAAAATCCTTTATTTAAAATAATATATAATATATATAATATTTAAATTTATGTGAATATAATAATTAAAATGTAATAAAACATTATTGCATTTCTTTATTTATTTTTTTATTCTCTCAAATACAATTTTTTTCTTTGATTTTTGTGTTTGGATATTTATTTGAGTATATGAGTAAAGATTACAATTGTACTATTCTTAATCTTAAGAATTTTAACAAAATTAAACTAAATTTTTATATTTACAATCTTTTTTTTATAAATATATATAAACTTATCATATATAAATCTTGATAATAAAATAAGAAGATTAGATAAAGATGCAACTATTTGTAACAAAAAATAGTACCATTGTGAATTTAAGATAGAAGCAATAATTAAGAAATTTCTTAAGCATTATAAAAAAATAATGAAGAAACATATTGTTTGACTTTCTTCAAAATTCTTATTTTTAGTAATTAATATTATAAAGATATCAAACTTATTCATTGTGTTATTATATTATAACTTGGCTATATAGTAAAAGATTAAAATAAATATTTTATTATAAAATATCTTAAAAATATATATATAATAGCAATAAATGAGTAAAAGATAGGAAGATAATAAAAACTTCTAGTATTGATGCTACCTTCTAATTATTAAAAAAAAAAAAAAAAAAAAAAAAAAAAAACTTCTACTTATTTTGTATGATTATAAATAAGGAAAAAAAATTATATTAAAAATATTAATAATATATATATATATATATAAAACTTAAGAAAGAATTTTGAAATAGTTTTTAGTAGAAATTATCTTAAGAAACTATGAATTGATATCCAAAGAAGACTAGTTGTGAACTAGGATTAAAATCAAATCCCAAGGCACAAAACTACAATCCTATGGCAAATCAAAGAGTGGAATTTTTAAGATGAAATTAAAAAAAAATAAAGATTAGAATTAGTTTCAAGAGATTTGGATAAATATTGAGTTTTTGAGAGTTTTTCCAAGTAAGAAATATATTTAGAGATTTATGATTTTGAAAATAAAAAGAGACTTACATGTTTAAAGAATTTGTGAGTACAATTAAAAATTTATGGGTGAAATTTTGCAAGTTAGTTATTGGACTTGTTTTAAATGTATATCATAAAATACCTATGGTAATTAATTAGGATTTACTTGAATTTATAGAATTTGATTAGGATTTGGTTATGGTTTATATGAACTTATTAAGGTTTTATTAGAATTTTTTAGGATTACATTAGGATTACTTATAGTTATTTAGAATTTATTTGACCTTTTTATTTTTAAAAATTATTTAGAAATATTTATTATTTCTTTAATTTTTTTTAGAATTGATTTATTATTTTTTTAAAGATTAATTTAAAATTTTGTAATATTTTTTTGATAATGTCTTTATAGTTTCTTTTGAATTTATTTAAAATTTGATTAAAAATTTTAAGATTAAATTAAAATATATTTAAGATTTTATTAGACTAATTAAGACCTTATTATTATAATTTATTATTTATCTTTCACAACTAGGTATTATAATATGATATAGATAACATAATTATATAAATAATTAGAACCATGGCAATTTTTAGAATTGGGGTTAGGTTAGTGGATTAGGTACGATCCACCATACAACATTCTAGAAAGGATTTAGGGCAGTTATTTAGATGGAGTCCACCATAGAATCTTTTAGCGAAAAACTTATGGTAATTATTTAGATAGAGCCTACTATAGAACCTTCTAGAAAAAGAGTTTAAGGTAGTTATTTAAGTAGATTCACTTCCTAAGAATATTTTAGAAAGTCTAGGGTGGTAGGATAAGGTATAAATAGGATAGACTAGGGCCTTTTGGGGCATCTGGTTAGGTATTGCTTTATACTCTTTTTCTTAGTAAAGTTTGATTTTACATCTTTTTGTTTAGATCTGTTCAATTCTATTTTTGTTTGCTCAGTTTTGTGTTTCATGTCCTATTATGTTTAGTTTAATTTAATTTTATTCTTATCTATTTTGTCTTACTTTGTAGATAGGCCTTGTGTTGTTGTAGATTAGAAGGATCTTGGATTTTTGAGATAGTGTAGTCATATTTTATTGGTATTGGAGCAAGATTTTTTTTATTTTGTTTTGATAGTTTGTCAATAGTCATTATTTAGTCCAAGGTCAGTTGTTGTAGTCTCATTAGATACTATGTTGAGGCTATCACAAGCTACTCTTAAAAAATCAATCAAGAGAAGAGAAGACATTACAATAGTAGAGTCCAATGAAGAAATTACAATATGAGAGATATGGTGGAGCAATCCCAGATGGAGGTTTAAATACAATACTTCTTAGGCCAGATAGCTACTTTGCAAAGGCAAATAGAAGCCTCGAAGACAAGAGACTCGACATCTACTAAGTTAAAATTGAATAAGCATAGTACATACTTTGAAACTTCAAGACAAGAAGATGTATATCAATGACTCTTCAATATGGACAATACTTCCAACTATCTAAGACAAATACTACTAAAGGAATCATATATGTAGCCATCTATTTGAGAGATGCTGCAGCCATTTGGTGGCAACATCAAGTTCAAAGTTATGGAGCTTGAAGTGGATTCTAAGACTGGGAGGAGTTTGAGACCAAGTTTAGAAATCAATTTTAGTCCATGAATGCAGAGAAGATAGTATGTGATCACTTGATAAATCTTATATAAGCTAGATTAGTACAAGATTATGTCTCCCGATTCAAGTCCTTATGTCTCTAAATTAGGAATGTTTTGGAGCCAAAGATGATGGATCGATTCCTATAAGGTTTGAAACCTGCAGGCCACGGAGAAGTAGAGCTAAAAGTTCCACAAACATTCAAAAAAGTAATTTAGATTGTAGAGAGAGTCGATGATATAGATTTTAGAAATTGTAGAACACAACCTATAGTATGAAGTTTTATGTCGCTATGTAATATTACGGCACAACAACCATCACTAATAGAAATTGATGCCTTACAATAATCATTGATACCACAAAGATGACAAATATTGGTGCAAAAAGGATTATGTTTGTATTGTCGAAAGTTAGGCCATTAGATTAGAGGTTGTCCAAAATGTCAAACTACAAGTATCAGCAAGACAAGGCAAGTTCATAGTCTTGAAACTCATTGAGTCAATAATAAATCAGAGTAGGAAAACAAAGCTCTTCAATGGCACCAAAGGCATATACTCGGGGTAGCTATTGTCTCTCATAGACAAATAGAATAGCCTCAAACAATTATAAAAAGAGTCAACTGGTGGTTCTAATGGAACTACTAAGAAGGCAACCATGTCGAGTGCTTGTAGATTATGGCTCTAAAGAAAATTACATTTCAACTCAAATTACAGACCAACTTAGAATTAAAACCAAGAAAATCAAAAGATGAAGTATATACCTTGCAAATGACCAAGAGAACATATTAAGTGAGACTTATGAAGAAATAACCTTAAGATTGAAGGACATCTACATCTTAAGAGAGAGATTCAAGGTAACAAAGCTAAGGTATGATGTTATTTTTGGTATGCCATGGCTAGACATGGAAAATAAGCAAGTTGATTAGGTAGCAAGGATAATCTCTTTTAAAGATAAAAGATTCAAGGTGACTCTTTGCACCTTCACATGAAGTAAAGAAAAAAGATAATCTACAGTCAAAGACTTACATATAAGGACGACCTTTATGAAGAAGCAACTACAACATGAGCAATCAATATATATAGTGGTTCCAAATCTTATATTAGTAGTGGAAAAGATAATCGAAGGGATAGAACAAGCAGAGCAATTCATATAAAAATATCAGGATGTCTTTCTAACCAACCTATCTAATGGCGTACCTCCTGATTGAGATGCCTTCTTTCAAATAGAACTATTGTTTAGAGCCAAACCAACAAGTCGACCAATTTATCTCTTAATACCAAAAGAATTTGAGAACTGCGAAAGACATTAAACAAAGTCTTAGACAAAGACCTCATTTGAGAAAGTACATCACCATAGGGAGCACTTCTACTTTTTTTACCTAAAAAAGATTGTGGACTTTGCCTTTGCATCAACTAACAAGGTATTAATAAGCAAACTGTTAAAAATGCATATCCACTTCCATGTGTAGATGATCTTTTTGACTAACTTCAAAAAACAACCATCTTTAGTAAATTGAATCTTTAGAGTGGCTATTGGCAAATACATATTGCAAGAGAGGTTGTCAAAAAGACAGCATTTTGTATGTGCAATAGATATTTTGAATGGCTGGTTTTACCCTTTTGCCACACTAATGTTCCAATCTCTTTTATGGATTACATGAACAGATTGTTTTAAGGCCATTGGAGCAAGAACGTAGTCGTTTTTATTGAAGATATCCTTGCATATAGTAAAATCTCTGAAGAGCATGAGTAATACTTACAAAAAATAGTGTATCAACTACAAGATAGCTCTTTTAT